GAGGAGGAGGAAAGGAGAGGATGAGTTACATCTCTGTGTCTGAAGACGTCGGTCACAAACTGGAGCTCCCCGGTCCCCTTGGTGCGTTGGCAGCCACGCAGGCCTTGCTCTGCAGCCTGAAGCGGCAGCAGGACACATGGCTCATGTTCCCCGCAGCATCCTCCCGGCCCCAGCACGGGCTCTCGCAGCCCAGCCAGGCAGATCGGCTGCAGTGGTGGCCAAGGCAGCAGCTCCAGTCCCTCAAGAATAAATATGGTTTAATGTATCCGCCTCCATTGTCAGTACCCAGGCATGACACGGAGCTGTGGGTGATGCTGGTGTCCGTACATCCTCCCGTGCTGGGGATGACCGGGGAGGGCTGGAGTGGGAGGCTGTGGGTGCGAGTCCTCTCCCAGCCCCGTTGCCAAACGTGCCCATGGGTTTCACCAGCCGCTGGCTTTTGCTGGAGGAGTGAGGTTGGCTGGCAGCGCGGTGGAGGGCTGGAGTTGCAGCAAGGGGTGAAGTGGTTTCATTTCAGGCTGCCGGTGAGGCCCCATCCCTGTGCCGGTGCGGGCGGCACCCGTCAAACCACAGCCCTGAGTTTCCCTCGATGGGGCAGGAAGTTCACAGGAAGGGCAGCCGGTGAGAGACATGGGCCACAGCTGCACCAAGGAGCTGGCAGAGCCCCACGTCCAGCATCGGGCACTGGAGTCTGGGGGCAAAGCCCCTGGCAGGTGCTGCCGGGCAGACCATGAAGTCGAATGCTCGTCCACCCCTCAAAACCTCTCCACACCACCATGCATCCAGCTTCTGCACCACCAATATTTAAGCAATAAAATCAGCAGGACTGGTTTTCAGGTGCCCCAGTCCGAGCTCTGCTCCCAGGCCTGGGAGGAGAAGCCGGTGGAAATCATCCTGAGCAGCCTCTTCCGCAGGAGGCTGCTGCCCGAGAGCTCCCTGCTCATCACCACGAGGCCGACTGCCCTGCAGAAACTGGGCAAGTGCCCGGAGCGCGAGCGCTACGCGGAAATCCTGGGCTTCTCGGAGGCAGAGAGGAAGGAGTATTTCTACAGGTTTTTCGAAAATGCAGAGGAGGCAGCTGCCACCTTCCAGTTCATCA